AGCCAGGTCTTCTGGGAGGACGCGTCGTGCAAGGGTAACCTGAGCCAAGTGACTGCGGAGGTTATTGAGATTGAAGGGAACTTCTTCCTGAGGCTGCGCAGGTATTACATTCCCATTTTCGTCCAAGATTTCTTCAGAGGGTGTCTGGGGAGATATAAGCGAGATGCAAGCGAAAAAATACAATACGTACAGCGAGTCGTACGACAGGCTTAACCTCCGGGACGCCCTCCAATGGGTCTGGGACATGACTCCCCAGGAATTCTGCCTGCCCGAGTTCAGCCAGTATGCGAGGATGATTCAGATCTACGGCAGATTTAGTGAGTAGTTTTATGATATCCGAGGCTTCTTCTGACGATGCCAAAACGCGATCGGCGACGACGGCAGTAGGTGAAATGTCTCGCTCTACGATATTGCTAAGGAGGGTTGTCGGATTGGGCAAGTCGGAGAGGTGGACGGGCGTGTCGGACTCGGGATTAAATCTAGAAAAGTGATCAGGGCAATAAATTAAGGAGACGAATGCAGCATACCGTCTCCACGCTAACAGCATGATAGCATATGTGGACGCAGTCGGGTGGACTCTATCTGTACCCTTTTCCATGAGGTCGTAAAGGTGACACGCGTCCTCGACCCACAAAGTTCTATCCTCGGGCTCCTTGACAAATGCCATGTGGATATAGGCCTCCAAGAAAGAATTGTATATACGAGACTCGAGCAAGGATTCGCGAGACTTGCTAGTTCTAAGTTGATCGAAGATCTGCTTTGCACGGGGAACGTCATACAGGTTATGCAAACATGCATCCATGACAGCGAGCTGGTCCTGAGTTGGAGAATCAGTGAAGTAGAAGCTATTCAGAGCTGAAGCACGGTCGTCTGGAAGGGGGGTTGGCAGGATTGTGTACGGCGTTCTGCGCTTTAGAAAGCCGTTCATGGCTACAAGGTGGTTTGCCGGTACTTCCCTCTGGGCCAACATGGAAGGATAATCTGGATGGGGAAGAGGGACTTGGGCGAATGCGGTAGCAGGTGCATTTGTTGCTTTTGTAGGAGTTGAATAAAGACGAGCAGGACGAGGAAGACATTGCCTAGAGTACGACAACAAAGTCGTCCGACGAGCACTCACTCCAAGCATTTTTATGAAGACGGACGGACACCAAAGCAAATTTAGACCTTTGGTGTGAAGAGGATCGGCTTCGGCGAATCCCGAACACTGTCATATGGTGCGCGTCACTTATCATATATCATAACGCAAACCCTTGAATAGCACCCATATTCTGTGTCACTATGCCCGCAATTGCAAAGCTTATACCAGAGGAGACTGTATTCTTCCTTTGCGACGTGCAAACACGTTTCAGTACGCTTGGTTTTGGATCCACTGTGAACAGCATCGATTGACTGTCGTATCATTCACTGTTGACATGAATCAGAGAATGCCATCTTCGGCTTTGACGAGCTTGTGTTGGCAATCAGTAAGATGCTCAAGATCGCAAAGGTATGATATGCGTATCAACTCCCTATCATGCCTTTACTCACATAAAGATACACAAGGTATTGGAGATCCCCGTAGTCGTCACGGAACAGAACCCAAAAGGTGGGCCCATCCTCGTACTTCCTCTTCTAAATGAAATCATCCAAGAGGAAAGGCCTTGGAAACACCATCCCCGACATCGATTTGCCTTCCCTGGGACCCCTTCTCCTTGCTACTATTGAGAAAGGGCTCTTCTCCATGGTGACACCGGAAGTGAAGGCCCTGCTCCACGAACGCCCACAGATAAAATCCGTGGTGCTTTTTGGTATCGAGGTGAGTTCACCCACCAACAACCGGCTCATTAGTCAAACCGCTCCATTCAGTCACATGTCTGCGTGTTGCAATCTGCTCTGGATTTTATCGAGGCAGGATACAATGTCCATGTGATAGCAGATGGTGTCTCTAGCTGTAATAAAGAAGAGATCCCTTTTGCCCTGGCGCGGATTCGACAGGGTGGTGGATACATCACTACGAGCGAGAGTGCGGCATTTCAACTGCAACGTGCGTGCTTTTCGTTCCGGATTGTGGGGGGCCTACTCATTGATTCTAGGGGATGCCGGTGTTCCCGGGTTCAAATTGTTCTCAAACGTCATAAAGGAAGAGAAGGATAACACGGTAAGAACGTTGCAGAAGCTGTTACAGTACCGCGCTGTCTTGTAGACTGTAATTTCCCTGCAGTTGTTCATCATGATTGTGTATCATATTTTCCCATTCCAGAGAGCAGAGCTTTACTCAGTCACACAAGCAAGAGTGGGGATCGCGACGAGCGCATCAAGACCATCAAGGCATCCATTCGTGACGATTTTCTAAGCGCTTCTTCGGTAACAAATATATTCGACTTGCTCGGACATCCACATATTGTGAAGACGGAGCGTTTAATCCCGTAGAAGCAGTTCGCGCCGATACTATATCATAGATCCGGGCTGGTCACCAGTCTAGACGCCATGCGCGCGCTCCACTCGAGCCCCTTTGCTGACGCGTTCTCGAGCAATCTAAAGGCGAGCAGAATGAGGACAAACCATATACATCCAAGTATGCGACGATACACCTCCTGTTGTTTAAAGTGCATCCGTCAACCATGCTGTCCGTGACCTGCTCAATTCGTGTGTGGCAACATCGGCCATCCACTCGGAGCATCCACGGTTCTTGCTTTACTATTGAGCAACCTGGCGAGTCGACATAAATGGGGCGTTCGAGGTTTGTGCATTTCTCCAGCAGATCTTGAGGCACTCAAACATATGTGCATCAAGGGGCTAGATATAGGAACTTCAGTGTTTTCTTCAGTCGCTTACATATTTGCAGAGATTATTATCATAATGGATAAATCAGTTGCTTCTACTGCCAAGTACAATTCCAAATCCGCCCTTGCAATATTATCAGTAAGATTCCTCGCAATCATACCACGCTGGACACTTCATTTCGAAATGGTCTGTCGAAGGCCGATCAAAGATGCGACGATCTGCCAACTTATCATGATGATTACCGCATGAAATCAATAGCATTCCACTATGCGGAAAAAGTTTAAATGGACGGTATAAGTATGGATGTCGCAGATATAAGTAAATTGAGCAGTGAAGTACGCCAAAACACCCTAAATTCCTGCATCCCCATCCACCTACTTTCGCAATGGTTGAGGGCCAAATTTCGTATTGGTGAATGTCAGGTACCGTTCGTTAACCGCTTCCCAGTTCAGCACGCTCCAGAACTCCTTCATGTATTTCTCCTTACCCCACACTCCATGGTCGAGAAGCCAGCAATGCTCGTGGATGCTGACACAGAACAAGGGGTAGACCTTTTCACCCAGGTTACGTAGGCTCCTCGCGGAAGGGTCAAGCGCCCGATCTGCGGGCTCATTATCATAGAAAGAACGCGCGCCGTCTAAGTGGCTGCACGGTGATGAGTGCAGCGTTCGTACGGGGGCAGAGGGATGCAGTGGCGCAGGGCCATGTGACATGCCTGACGTGGGTGATGTCGGTGTGTTGCCCAGCCCTGTATTCAATTGCGTTGGCTGTGGGCCATCACGGAACCTGCCCTCGTGAAGCACCTCATGACGAGCGGCAGGGTTTTCCGTGCACGCACGCGAGCGAACAAGAAGTGTACCGGCCGCGAAGGTGGGCTGAATGGCAAGGTTGCCTACGGCGTCCGTGATAAACCAGATGTATCCCGACCCCGACATTCCTCTGGCGGCGGAAGAAAAGTTATTGATGAAATGCGGCAAGCTACCGAATTGGGCGCGGATGGATGGGGCTATGAGAAGATTGTGGATCTTATCTTCGTAGTCCTCATCGTTTTTTGGGGGTCGCTGTCAAGTAAATTAGTATGGTGTAATAACGAGATGGGGGAGTTGGACGTACAAGGCAGTTGAGGAAGAACGAATTGTTGAGGGCGTGGCTTGCATAGGAGAAGCCAAGGGCATCTTTTCCAGAGCTAGCAGTGTCTATCACGAGTTGCGTGACGCTCTTTCGCTGGTCAGCAGCATCTGTACATGTGTAAGTCATAAGGGAGCTGCCCATAAAACCTCACTGACCAGGAAACATCTCGTTCAATCGGTCGAGGAGACCTTGCTGGTACTCCTCGGAAACAATTTTAAGCGTCCTTGGCGACATAAAATTTGCAAGGCCCTCATCGACATTGTAGTCGAGTTCTATCCGAGAGTGAAGGTGTCTCCGTGCACCCCAAAATTGCCTTGGACATTTCGTGCTCTTCCATGCAGACAATGCACTCGCAAGGGAAGACGACGCTCGCAGACCAGCAATGCTCATGACGAAAAATAGAGACTACAGATTATGTAGAAGGTAGCTCGGCCTTGGACGAGACGTGCAAGTTAGCGAAAGACTTATTTTTTGAACGTGACGGGTCGGGGTCTTTTCAAGTCGCCGACCTTCTTTGTTTGGACGAGACTGTTTCTTCCACGTCGTCGTCACTTTCAAGTAAAGCAATTTGTTAGCTGTCACTCGTTCAGCATGGCTGGCCCAAAGTCATCCTCAAAATCATCACCTACGTCGTCAGAAACCTCTGTGGCAGTTTCAACGTTGTGGAAATCATATCTTGATCAGACCCCCGACCGCCTCAAGTTCATCGACGCTTTCTTGGCGTTCATCGTGCTTAGTGGGGTGCTGCAGTTCGTATATTGCGTACTTGTCACGAACTTTCCTTTCAATGCATTCCTTGCCGGGTGAGTTTGCTGGTTAGCGTGTCAGACATGTATTGAGTGTCGTCACAGCTTTGCAAGTTCGGTAGGCCAGTTCGTTCTGACTGCGTCCCTCCGCGCACAAGTCAACCCCGAAAACAGATCTGAGTTCAAGGAAGTCTCGCCTGAAAGGTATTTGCATCCTTTCTTACTTTTGCATGGATCCTCATTTTCTGCCAGAGCATTCGCAGACTTTGCCCTTGGCTCCATTGTGCTACACTTCTTCGTATTTAACTTCCTCGGATGAATGTGTATAATATTACGTGGAGTCGCGCAAGCACACAATTATGCTGCAACCAGCTCGTTAAGCTTAAGGCCGTAAGCAGATTCTGTGTCCTTCAGAGTAAAATATTACAACGTAGTGAGTGCGGTCTGTTATCACGAATTGGCAGGAGAAATGCAGATGGGACTTGGGGACTTCAATGCCTCCTCTCGAAATAAGTGGAACGCTGTTGTACGTTGTTGTCAGTGGCGTGCAGTGTGAGATACGATGATAGAATGTCTGTCACGTACCCCGAATATGACGACTGCGAAGTCGAATGCGTATTCACCTAAAACACATGAGCAAATGAAAGAGTTGATGCTGGACGAGTCTACAGACCAACTTCAAGATACGACCGCAGCAGCTCTAGTCAAGAACAACGTGTGAACAAGTGCTCTCAGGTCAGGTCACTCAGCTGGGACTCACGGCGAATGTCCTTGTTTGGAACTTGAGACAGTGCAGGTCTGCAGTGGTATGAGAACATTTCGCACTAGCAACATGGTAAACGTACGTGAGGCCTGTTGAGCGCCTTATGCCAGCGAGGAATGCACTGATGATGAATGCATCTAAACCGAGGTGAAACAGCCACCCAAGCATCCTTGTAGGTTCACGAATAAAGTGAAGCAGACGCTGGCGTTAACTAGTAACTTCTGTAGTCGTGGACAAGGCAACCGGGTGATTACTGTCACTGAGTGAAGGGCGGCCCCAGTCAATGCACCGTGCATAGATTCCCACGCAGGTTGATAAGATCATGCACAGCTCTATGTCATTCCAAGGAAGGTCTGGTTCCAGTTCCCGACTGGTCACCGCCGTCCATTCATCTGTAACTAATTCAGGAAGAGACTGACGTCGCTGTCAGAGCTTCAGGCAGCCTAGAAAGTCCTCCATGCAGCTCTCCAACAATTGGGTTCTTCGGTTCAGCACTCTCTAATGGTGGCTGATCGTTTTGAACGCTGAACTCTTTGTATGTCATGATTTTACAGCTGACCAGCTTGTATATGTAGTTACTAAACATACCAGGTACAACGTTCTCCACTCACCACTTTCCTGACTCTACAATTCTCCGCACCTCCCCCCGCACGTATCCGTCTTCGCCCTCTAGCCGTCACCTTTACACCAGCACAATCTCCACTCAGTGGATGCGCCACGTCACCAAGATTCAACACCCAATGCTCATCGGAGCTTCGACGGTGGTGTTCACGTAACACCACCTTTGTGCTAAGGTTGTTTCCCTCACACTGGCAAACATACCTCACCATCCAAAAGCCTCCAGCAATTTCCCTATATCAAACAGCAAAAACTACGGCCAACTCACGACACAAATTTCCCTCGAACGTTCTCAACGTTTGCTAAAAGCGGCCCTACTCTGCTCAAGATAGTAAATACCTTCCAGTTCTCCCCAACTTGTATTAGTACTGCATAGGTATGTAAGTAAAGATATGTTTTCAACTAGGTGAATACTTGCCGGAACATTCCTACTTGTCTTCGTTATAGGTAATCGGAAAATAGATCCCAAGAGCCTCATCCTCGGCTGAATAGGTACGTCAGCATCGTGGTGGTAACTGACGGTCATGAATACTTGCAGCTCCTCTTGTCGACGCCATCGCAGTAGTAGGCAATCGGCCAGAAGGCTGCAATGGCCCCATCCTCTGAGTCACGCTTTGCTACAGCTGCATGATATGTTAATAACTATAATGCTACTGATATCATGAACACTCGCAGGAATCCGTAATCGCTTCTGACATGGGGTATGCGACTGCAAGGACCACCATGCAGGCGAGTGCACTAAGAAGGAGATAGCGTTGCATGTTTGAAGTTAAGAGGAACAAAGGTCAGATTCGAAGTGTTCACTTTGTTAGTGCCTACGTTGAAAATTCAGAGGTCCTTATATCTTTTTGTAGGTTTGCTTAACCCGTCAGACCTTGGAATATGACGTGGCATGACGTTCAGTTGAACTACCATGAAGCACTTTGTCCCTTCAATTTTGAAACGAGTTCGGGGTGATGCGGCGACCAGCAGATATCTAATAACATATGTAGGGACGGAATTCGAACGTTTGATCTCGCGGAAGCAATTCGCGTGACTCCCCTGTCTGTGCTCCACATGCTGGCGAGCTTCTTATATGTGTGCGTTGTTCGCTTATCTCTATCCCTCCTTTTGCAATACGCACCGGAGCAAACTCCAGACTACATCGCGATATGGTGCGAAATGCGGGAGTCAACATCACCGCTCTTCATCGCAGATTCAAATCCCTCATACCGGAGAGATACATCGCCTGCCTTGCCATCACCTTCTCTTTCAATCCAGTGCGTTAAAGCTGGACCGTAAATTGCAAACAGTTTCCCTTGCGACCTGGTTATGCGACGACATTCAACGGGTATCAAGGGCTGACGTTAGAGAAGCCACGCTTGACCTGCGCGCAGATTCATTCGCACACGGACAGCTGTACACCACACTTTCAAGAGTGCGATGTTGGCAGGACGTTCGAACGTTATTTGCAAGATAAGAAGAAAAAAAGACAACAGCAAACAAACATCTCTTATTGTAATTCGCAGTAGAAAACGTCCGAAGGTGAACGGAGTGCTTGTACTAATTATAATCAATGTCCCTTGCAGTCCGACGGAGCAACTCGACAAGCTCGCGAACGTGTCATATTTCTGTCTGCAATTCATAAGATTAACAGGTATCATGTTAGCAAAAAGAATGTACATTTCCGCTTCTATTCCGCGTCGCTATGGATCTCCTGCCCTGCAGTGGTCAAGCTTTATCTGTGCCTTCCGAGCGCATATTTTCATCGAACAAAGAGACTTGCACTCTACGGCACGGCAACCTATCTCCAACCACATGAAGCACTATAAGTTCTGAAGTTTATTTACAAGCAAGACCATCTCAATTTACAGAAGACCTGGTGGCTGACGAGCGGGACTATGCAATATCTGGACCTGTGACATCCAAGGCAGTTGATGACCTAATGGCTACTGGGAATCTTCCTCCCGAATATCTGTGTACCTTCAGCTATTCAAGTAGTATACTTGCATCTTCGTAATGAGAAAACTCGCAGTCGGCATCTTTCCTGTCCAGTTCGAGTTCCTTGCAGTAGCGTTCCTCCTGGTTTCCGTGTCGGGGGGTGTACCACTGGTTCAGAGACAATGATGGTGGGAGTTAGAGGGATAGTGTTTAAGATAGCGAAGATGAGTGTTGTATATTTACAAATTCGAGGTTGTCATGCGCTAAGTCTGGAGATAAGGACCGCACCGAGGCGATTGCTGTCGAGTTAGCGGAGTACCTGGCGCTTTCTGGTCAGTTGGGGGTCATGCCCTCTGGCCACGCCCCGTGAGACACTTAATGTATACCTTTTCAAGTTAATCCGATGTGTCTATCGGGAGAGAGATACTATTAACTGCAACCACTGTCAAAAGTTCTTCCGGTGGTCGTAGAACTACTTTGTCAGTAGAAGTCGTGACTGCCTCCGACTTTACAAGATATCTAATTCGAAGGGAATTTATTGTGCGACAGCCTATAAGCACTAGAACTCGAGTCATACGTCTTTGTAGTGACATTCGTGATGCGATATCATGCTCTGTAAGTCCTCTATGGGCGAGAATACAATTAGGGAGGTAAGGAAGATCAACATTATCCTCCTGGCGGATCACTTCGATGGAGGGATGTAAACACGACGAGCATCTACCCAAGTCAAAAGTCTTCTCGAAGTCCCTACATTGAAGTGGTTGGGTAAGGAGAGGTCGAGTCCCTCAAACCCAATCATAATTAAACCATTGTTACATCAGAGGGCACATAATGGCTTGTCTGAGAATTTCGACGCAGTGATCTGATGTACAACATTAGCAGGCAGGGACGTACGCTGAGGGGTAACAATATGCTAACCAGGATGGATGCGCCATCGGATAAAGTCAGGATCTTCTGCCATATAATGGTTACGCCAGGTGGATCTGCGAACTATGTTCTACAAGGGGTGAGAAAGATCGAGTAGCCCCCTGTTACGACTGACTATGCAATGAAGGGGTGAATAACCTCTACAATCGCCAAATAATTCCCGCCGTACTCTTCCGGATACCTAGCCATGAATGGGGCAGGTTCTTCCTCTATTTCGAGTAGTTGTTCGAGCGTTATACCCATTGGGCGCCCTGAAAAGGTTGTCAATCAGTAATCGCCTCGATAGGAATAAAGATATGCAACCATTGGCAGTTACTCTATCCCAAGCTGCTTCAAGATCTGGAGACGGACTGCCGCGATATACCTCACGACGATCCCAACTT